TAACTGGTCATAGATATCCAGCTAATTCTCCCATGTTGTTGTCCTGTCTTCTTTGAAAATAAGGAAAAAAAGTAGGGAATAACAGACATGTGTCATTACCAAAGATATAAGAGCAAGTTGGTAACAAAACTATGATATAACCTGTAAGTAATAAATTTCTAATTAATCATTTGTGCACATGAGTATACATTCACGTGTCTACCCTTATACACAGTTCCTTGAACATTATATGGTATAGCAGTATTAGATCTTATACCAAACTCATACTTCACCCACTGAGGACATGATAAATGCAGAGAGTCAGCAAAATACAAAACAAATTATTCTTCTGAGCAGACTCTGGTTTTTGACCTCTAAACATTTGGGAGTGGTAGAGACTTACATAGCAATGGGCCAGACATTTACACCACGCAGTTGTTAGAAATGAAAATTGGTATAGCATAGTCTGTTAATATGTAGGATCATAAAAGAGAAACAAATGAAATTGATAACACCAGTGAATTAATTGATGAAATCATATGTATTTTATTTATTCTCTGAAGTGGTAAATAGACTCATGAAGTGGTGAAAACACCCTAGCAATAAACTTACCCATAAGAAATATTCACTTTTTTTTAATATGCTAAACATTTGTGACAGGTATACTTGACAGAACGATTAATTTCTTCAGGATGAAAATAATAAAAATACTCTGTATTCTACCTTTTGTTTTTTAACATACTAAGTTCCACTTAAATTCCTCATGAACTCATCAATCAGATCCAAATTTTATCAATTCACAACCTTCTTTTCTTCACTTATAATCAAACACTCTAAGCCCCTAGCTCTACTACTGATTATTTTCAATTAATTATTTTGTACATTTTATAAAAAAATCCAAGATACGTATAATATAAAAAACTAAGATATATAATATAACAAACTAAGATATATATAATATATATGGTTTCTTCCAAACATAACCATTCAAAATAATTATCACACTTTAAAAATTATATTAATTACTTAGTTTCAGTCACTAAGTGTTAAAAATCTCATTTTTCTCATAAATGTTTCAGCTATTTGAGTCAGCATCCAAATAACATTCTACATGTGGCAGTTAATTTTAAATACTTTTAAGATTGTATAGGTTTACTCTTTATATTTTTTGCTCATTTTGAACTTTGTAAAGTAAATTGCATCATTTGTCATGTTGAGTGTTTCTCACTCTATTATTATATTCCTGGAACACAAGTCTTTGAAAAATTGTCTTTGTTGTCTAAATAATAACTGTATTAACAATATACAGTATTTATGAAAAAAATCTAAACACACTTCAGCAACTCACTGTGCTGATAAATGTGTGGAAGCTGATGGCCACTACTTTGAGAACTTCTTGTAATTGTACAGGCCAAAGGTAACTTGTTTTAATCTCATGATGTCTCAATAAACTTAGTACTAAAATATTTACAAAAGTTATTCTTTTCCTAATGTATATACTTTTGGTGGACTCTGAATTACTTATTTCTACACATGTATTGATTTGGTGATCTATGATATATTTTGTTTTCCAACTGTTCATTTTTCCCTTTTAATAAGAAAAAGCAGACAAACTATCAACATCTATGATAGTCTTTGGTACAGATCATCAAGTCAAAGAAATACTAATGATTGTATTCCTTTAAAAATTTGCAAAACATCCAGTTTCTTTATCTTTTAGATTAGACATAGTATTTTAAGTATATCTTCAAGAAATTTTTCTGAAAAATTATTCTATCCTTTCTAAAAATTGAAGTTATTATATTGAAGAAACTGCTATGTTTAAGTGGTTAATTTTTCTGCTATGAGAAGGTAAATAAGTAATTATGAAAATTTAGAGTTTTAAGTAGGTCATAATAAAGAAATAGTGCATGAATGTCATATCATTTATGATCATTCTTTAAAAATTAGACAAATTTGGTACAATAGAAGCAAGTAGGAATTATTCCCATAGGATTTATAGCAGGAGAAAGGCATAAGAAAAGTACAAAAGAAAAATTGATGTTTGCAAAAATAGAAATCCTCTTGACTAGAGCCCTTTTAAAGTGACAAAGGTAATACACCATAGGGATGCACGTGTATAAACATATGGTAGAAATCCTTGAATGTTTGTATTTACTTTGAATGTGCTATAAATCTGCTATATGTTATAGGAAATTTATTGTGTCTCTTTAGGCATTTCTTCCTTCGTCTATATCAGTGGGCAAGTCTAAACTTGGTGGCCTTTTTTGGCTCTGATTATCCAGGCTGGAAAATGAATTAGATAAGCAGTTCTGTTTGTGAATTCCTCTCTACTCCAGAGGTATTGCAGGAAATGTTCAAAGCTTGAGTTGGTATGATACAGACTGGGATTGAAGAGCATAGATACAAGTGAATTTATGCAAGTTCAAACAGGATATATGGGGCTGGGGATTTAGCTCAGCGGCACAGAGCCTGCCTGGCAAGCGTGAGGTCATGAGTTTGATTTCCGTATCAGAAAAACAAAACAAAACAAAAAAAAAATTAAAAAACAAAAAGCAAACAGGATAAATAGGTATTGATTGACCATCTGTAATATTTGCAAGGGAAAAAGAGTAAAATCAATTCTTGAAGTTTCCAGTCTACACGACTAAACTATATCGTCATCCTGTGAACAAATAAAGAAAAGAAATAATGGAAGGAGCAGATTGGAATTTGGTTGGAGACTTTGGTATGGTGAATTTGAAGATGAGGTAAATGGACAAGCCTTGTGTGCAGCTGATACCAATGACCTGCATATGCAAGACAAGTTAATTCTGGTGTGTAGAATTTTAGTATATATCTTAGTAGAAAATAGTAAACAAAAGAACATACATGAGCATTGGAGGAAAAAGGACATGCCTTTTGTGGGGAAAAAAATCATTCCTTTAAGAGTTGGGGAGGGGCTGGGGATTTAGCTCAGCGGCACGGCACCTGCCCAGCAAGGGCAAGGTGGTAAGTTAGATTCCTGGTACCAAAAATACAAGAGTTGGGGAAAGGAAGAGGCCCTGGGGGAAAGAAAAATGGACAGGAAGGGAAGCAGACACACCAGGTGAGCTGGTTGGTAACCTGCGTATGATTCAGTAAATGGAGGGATCAGTAAGGTCACATATAGAGAATGTAGTGAAAGTTTAACAAAGCTATGATGTTCTTTAATGTAACAGTTCTACAACTACGAGGAAAGTAGGGAAGAACTGAAACTTCAGGGAGTTACAAGGTACCTGATATAAAAACAGAGGCAACAAGAAGGGTATTCTTTCTTAATAAATTAAAAAACACACATGAGACATGGACCATAAAGCCAAATTGATTTTGGTTAAATCACTTAACCTCTTCAGACCTTCTTGCTTCTTTTTTTCCCGTTCAGTGCTAAAAATCATATTGTGGTTTTTCCTTAAAATCATGGAGGGAACTCAGTGAGAAAGCTGAGGTTCACTGAAAGAAAGTACATTGCTTCATTATCATGGTTACTACTTATATTTGTGTTTAAGTTAGAAAATATAAAATAAGACAGAAGTTAATTTTTACCTGGTACTCACATTGGCAAGTCAATGAAAAGTTCACAAAGATCTTCCTTTGCTCTGGTTGTTTTTAGTTTTATATTTACTTTTTATAGAATACCTCACTACATTGAGACAGCTTATTTCATATTTTTCATTTACTCTGTGACATTACTGTTACTGAGGTACTATAGCCAGCTGTGGCCAGTTGTTTCCATGTACACTGTAGTTAAAAGGTAGCATGCACTATAAACAAACGACAGTGTATATAACATGACAAGTGTGAAACACAAGTGCTCTGTAAATCTGAGAACACCCTCCATATGAGAATGTACTCTCCTCAAGTGAGGCAGTTTTAAGGACCTGGAAGTCCCAAGGACAGACTAGCTGCAGGACTACGAAAGAACTCAGAAATCTCACTGTCCTAAGCAGTCTTCCCTTGATTGAAATATTCTCCATTGGGCAGCAAAGCAACTGGAATAACTCCAGGAAGGGGTCATGCGACCTTTCCCACCATGATTCCCCATTTGTTGTGGCTTTCTCTGAGTCTCTAGACTGTGGGTGCACAGCCGCTGGGTTTACCTAGCATCTTCACAATTCACCTGAGAGAAGGTTCTCCATCCCTGCATCTGCCCATGACCACCACAGATGTGTGAACATCCATTGGGTCTATTCAGTTGAACTGCAGCCTTCAGAAAACTAATATCTTACCTCTTACTAACTCTGATAACAGTTCAGTGTACACACTTGCATTTTGATTACAAAGTATTAATCTTCAAAACTTGGTTTCAATAATGTTTTCTTGCATGTGTTTGATAAAATACTTCAATTTTTAAAATCATTAAGAAGTGTTTAGTGTTCAGAGGTTATGAGTATTTGTTAAGCTTGGTCTTCAACACTTTGGCTACACTTAAATTTCAATTTTTATACAACTTCCTTTGGACAAAAAAAAACTTTCATTGTTCACTTCCTTTAAAACTTCTAGCTGAAGACCAATAAGAATTTATTAGACACAAACCAGATATTTTAATGACTTGGTTTTCAAAGTATTTAGCTTAAAAGAACCAAATATTTAGTTTAAATGCTTACTGCACAAACTTATGATATTCAACCCACATTTTTAACTTTATTGAGAGATATTTCTATTATGTAAATGAAACTTTCATTTCCCCGAAGTTTTCAGTTCTAGTTTTTGTGAGATGAAATAATGCTATTAAAATATTAGTACTACACAGTCATAATTTTAAAGTTAGTGATGACACATTTTATTACAAGGGTGTGCTGTATTATTTCATAGTATGTTCATAATCAAAGGTCATGATATATATGTTACATTACCATAATTTTCTGATTAATTTGTTCTTTATACATTTTATCCGTGTTCCAATTGCATTTCATTGATTCATAGTTTCCTTGTAAGTTTGTGCTTTCTTTCCATGTTCAAAGGATCTCTTTAATTCAATTTCTCTGTTTCTCCTCATACAGTCTGACAGCCAGATATGCAACTCAGTCTAATCACAGTGGAATTGCAACCAGTCAGAAAAAGCCTACTAGGTCAGTTAATATCTCTAATTTATTGCTTGTTAGTGATATTCAATAAGCACCCAGTGATATTTTGTCCATCACTTTCAATTGTTAAAAGTCTGACATATTTCTGAGTGAAAACTTTAAGGTACTGAATTCTTCCAAGTAGATTTCCATCCAGTTTCAGGAATGAGCATGTATGTGGTAGATGATTAAATGGGTTTGGCTTTTTCTGTGTCAATTTAGTTGTGCTCACCGTTATACTGGAATGAAATCTAGGCCCTAGGCTCAGAACAAGTTAAAATAAAGAATACCTTGAAGGCCCTGGCACACAGAATTTGGAAACAATACAAGATTAGACCTACTTTTTGAGATTGACACATGTGAATTATTGCACATTTTAAAGCAGAATTGAGAAAAGCTAGCTATTTTTGCCAGAAAAAATTTGTTTCAGGGCAGTCTGTGCTATTTATCTATCTATAATAGCTTCACTTTGTTTCTTCAGGATATATATATATTTTAAATATACATAGAATAAATAACTTGGAGAATAATAATATAAAAATATTGAAAGAGTTTGACTTTTTTGATGTTACATTGACGAAGGTATGACTGAGGAATTAAACAGATGAGTAACACCACATCCTCAGTGTCTTGCACCTCTGATTACTGTGCGATTCTGTGCACTTTCTCCCTCACTGGATAGTGTCCGGTGATGGGTTATTAGTCTTTGCAGCATTAACAAATCATGTTGCACAGTGCATGACCAAAGGGACTGTTTGTGATGCCTTGACCTGAGGTAGGTGCTCTACCCCTTACCTTGGTTTTCTATGTCAGTTTCTAAAGTAGTTAAGATGATGTGGGGGAGACAGTTTTTAATAGATATTTCATTAAAAATTATAATAAATGTAATAAATTAGGATGTGCAAGGAATAACGACCTGCCATGTATAATGAGCATTTTTATTACTCTTTCTAATACTTGGGCATGTAAGATATATTCTAAAGACTTTGTTTAAATAGGACATTTCTCTCTTACATATTCTCTTTCCTTTTTTCTTCATCTTATTTCCCTTTTTATTACTTTGATGAATGATCTGGAGACTCTGGCTGCTTGTCAAATTAGGGTAATGAGAAGAGCAAATGTATTTTTTAATTTGTCTTAATTTGATCTTCAGTCTGAAGATCACGAAGCTTCACAAGCCACAGTAAAGATGAAAATGCATTTTAATTACTTTCTAGAAATGGGTCAGGTTTTATTGCAAGCAGAGCAAGTTTGTGACAAAATCTGTTTATACATGTGAGCTTGGAATGAACTTGCTAAGTCTGTGATTATGTCTACAGGGCTCTGTCTCAGATTTATTATGACTGAGGTGTTTGGTCAAATTAATTAGTTGAGTTCTTTCTGGAATATGCACTCACTGGTACTGAAAATTCCTAGTTTCTGAGGTTATTGTTCTACACTCCTGAGCCCTTGTAGCTCTCTGAGTACAAGTTTAATGATCGAATTCTTTGGAAAAGATTTTAATCTTGTGCATGATATAACCCCTAATTAACAAAATAGCTGAAAGAAGCATTTATTAATATATGTATTTAAACCCTAAGATACAGTCAAGATTTTGAAACTATTAATTGTTCCAAGACATTAACACTTTTTAAAACCTAGCATTTGTATTTTCCTGATGTTTATTTTATTTTGCAATATCTGTTACGCTTTTAAATTATTCATATTTTCAAGTGTTAGAATTGTTAAATAATATGTAAAAATAAAATAGGTAGCATTACAAATGTCAATTAAAATCGCAACAGTATAACACATGGATCATGAAATTTTGATATGTAACATATGTCATTTTATAAATATGCACATGAAAGATGTAAAAACATTTAGTGCTGTATTTATAAGTTCTGGGTTACTTCTGATTTTCAAATAGAATTTTCAAAGTAGTACACAGCCATATTCACATGGTGGCAGCAAATACCAGCAAAGTTGCTGGCAACCTTCACTATCATGTATTCTCAACAGATCTTGCAATGTCAATATTATTTCCTATCCTGTAGATTCTTATTCATATGGACTGAACACATACATACACAAGATAATAGTCATGTAAAATAAAATTAGGTATAATTCATATGAAATGATTGATTTTTAAAACTTTAAAGGGAACACAGTGACATAAAAGATGTAGTCTAGCATTTAACTATAGACCAAACAAAATAACAGTAGCTTGTGGCTTCCTGTCCTACTGTCTCTAGGCATAAAATAGATCCTAGATATTTCTTCATCTATTTCTTCATATACAAAGGATAATTGAAACTGCTGTCACCCTAGCTGTATTTTAAATTGTTCTGCAAATGGTGATTTTCTTATCAACCAACACGCAATGCCCTCTAGAATGAGGTGGCCACACTTACAAGATCACCATCTGAAGTCTGGTTGTTTATTTTTTAACAGGAATGAAGGTTTTTTGTGAGGTATCCCAGTCACATATGATGTTATTCCTGACCTTGCTTCTGGCACCATCCTTTAAATAGAGTAGCTAAACTAGCTTAGACACTCCGCAAATATTTGCTTTCTTCCATTTGTTCAGGAACTTGATTCTTCTTAGCAATTTACAAGTCTTAGAGTTCAGCTACCTAAAATGAAAAGATCAATTTAACAACTGTAATTACTATGCTGTGGACCTAATAAAGTTAAGTGTTATTGTTTCCCTTGCTTTTCATGACACTGTTACAGTTCTTTTAAGGCAAAGTTTTATCAAGCGGCGATTGAGAAAGTCTGATTTTTTTTTTTTGGTTATATGTGGCCTATTTTAATATTTCTCTATTATGGCCATGGTGGGGATGCGGGGGTGGCAGCGTGCTTACTGCAAAGTGAAACAGAGTTGTTTTTCTCTGGTAGTCTGCCCTTGTAGTTAATTATTCGTCGTGGAAAGCACCATTTTCTGCTCATCAGAAACATTCTACACAGTATTGTGGTTTTCCCACTAACTCTTCCCTGACCAGAAGCCCTTGCTCTCTACCTTTTCCAAACACACAATATCAATGCAATCTTTCCTTCCCTGTTTCAGACTTCCGGGACCCTCTCGGGTGCCAGGCGCAGGTAGCAACAGCAGCAAGGCCCAGGGAGCATCCAACCTAAACCGGAGGAGTCAGAGCTTTAACAGCATTGATAAAAACAAGCCTCCAAATTATTCAAATGGGAACGAAAAAGGTACGTGTTCGTCTGTTATCTCATTACGGCCCTTGTCTACCGAGAGTCTCGTGAGTTAACATGCTAAATTTAATATGCGAGCAGTGCAGTAGTTTGGGGGATGAAAATGTTACCAAGGGCTTTTCGTAAGTTTCCTAAATGGCCTTCCTGATTTCTAGTCTTCTTCTAGGCTTTTCTTATCTGAAAAACATCTTATGGAAATGCACTCATGTATTTTAAAGTGTTTAATTATATACCCACATATAAAATCTGCTTCACAAAAAGTTTCTCCCGGATGCGTATAAATAGCATTTTCATATGTCTTTCATGTTTTATGTAAATTTATCCTGGAATCATAAAGCTATATTACATTTATTTGAATCTTTACTTTCAGTTGCCATATATGCCGTAAGTGTTTGGTGCAGTTAATGATGGAGCATGAAAAATTGAGTTATAATTATGGTATGTCTGTAGTTCTGCAAGGAGCAAAACTTAAAAAATATATCTTCAGTCTTCCCCAGATGAACCATTCACATTTGTTTTCTTGGAATAGTACATACTATAATTATCAAATCACAAAATCAGTAAGTCAGAAAAAAGGACAATTAGTGGAAATTTGTGTTAAAGACAGATTGTAAATTATCTATGTGTCATGCAGTTCTCTGTGATGTGCAGAATGGTGCCTTTAAAGAGGCACTAGCTCACTGCTTGTCACTGCAAACAGGAAGTGGCCCAGGTAAGTTTGGAGTTTATATGAGAACATGTACTATGTTTATAAGTGATGTAGCTGTTGGAGTGATTGCAATGTCATGCGGGGTTTTGGGGTACTCTTTTCAAATCAGTAGCACTTTAAACTTTTCTTCATGGTATTGGCCTCTATATGGAAAAGCATGTTAAAGTAAAGAATGACATAAATATTTAGTTAATAGGACACTTGGTAGATTTGCTTTTAATAATTCAATTTAGTAAGAATTCTTTTTCAAAGGTTAGATAACTGTACATTGCTTCAGACAGGTAAATAATAGGGCAACTTTCCCCTATTCAGGCACAAATGAATGCATTATCTAGGAGCCAGACACTCTTTTGTGAAAATATCCCCCTTTCACCTAAAACAAAATATGGCAGACTGTAAGCCCCCCCAAGCAGACCAATGAGTGATGATCCTTGTAGTACCCACCTCTTCCACTGAATGCAAAAAGAAGTTGGGGGAAAGTATGTATTTGCAAGTTTGGAGGTTATTTTTTAAATCCTAAGAAATCTTACTGAAGATTTAGATTTTTCCTGGGGAGAAAGCAGATGACAATTCTTCATTGGAAAATCATGTTTCCTCATTTTGTGACCTTAGATAGTATACTACACGTTCAAGCTAATATTTCATGTGTTTGTGTGTCTACAATACATATTAATTGCATATAGTAATATTATGTATAGCATAAATATATAATGTTAATTGTATCATATATTATATACACTTAATATAATATATATTGTAGAATTGCCAGGGAAGCTTATGAATGATTTGTTGAATGGACTGCCAAAGTATCCAATTGTATCCATCATGGTACTTCTTTCTAATAATATTTCTGTAAAAACTTTCCAGTAATGCTGGCATGAGATGAAGAAATAAATACTTTCAATAAATTACTATTTTGATGTGGAAGTCTTCGTTTCTATCTCTAAAAGTAAAAATACAAGAATAACCAAGCAGTGATATTTTTTTCATGATCACTCAATCCTTTATGTATGTCTAGCAGTGCAAAATTAAAATATAGCAATATTTGTAATAACCACTAGGTGGAGACAGATGTCATAGGATATGCAGAAGGGAGTCCAATAAATTCCTTAGGTACATTATCTACAGCAAAAGGCAAGAGTTTTTGTGATGAATCAACCATTACCTTAAATTCTAATTAAAAATTCTAACACATTTAAAGTGTGTTTTCATATTCACAGATAATTATTATACATCAAATGTAGACATTAAATGTCTATAAACTGCCAGTAAATTTAAAGTGCATATTGCAATATACCATCTGGGATTTCCTCTACATACAATATGGCATTTACTATTAAATTCAGAATTATTTTATGTCAAGAGAAACAATATTGTTGCCTTTTTGTTAATCAGAGCATGCTGTTTCATATCCCCGAATGTTGTTATAAATTATAAGAAAGTATATGATCAAAAATTATGCATGAAAAAATTTACAATTTATTCTATATCTATATGATGCATTTTTAATTAAAGTTTTTGCTTAAATTCTTCAACATCAAGATTTGTAGTTGGGACATAACATAAAATATTTGATTCTATGTGACAATTTAAAAATATCAGTAATAGTGAATTGAAAAGTGGAAGATTCTATTTGCTGAAAAGTTGGTATTTGTCACAAAATAGTGTACATACTTATCTTGGATATGACTAAGAATGGTAAAAATTAAAAAAGGTTTTTCAAAAGTTGTTGTATCATAATGACCAAATTCAGAAAGTACTAACTTGAATGTCCTAATGATCATTTCTATTCCTCCCTATTATTAGAAATTAGAAGGCTTAAGTTTAATAAATGCATTTTATTTGAAGGAGTAACCAAATTTTCTGTAATATGTTCCTTGACTACTTCTAAGTGGAAATATTTTTCCTACTTTCAATGAAAACTCTTACATGATGAGCTATATAAGTCAATTCTGGAACCTCTAAAATTGACCATGGATAATAAGGGTTTATTTCTATCGTATTTCTCTATTCAAGAAAAAAAAACCAAAAAACTATCTTTTCTTTTGTATGATTTATAAAAATAGAACATGGCTTATTTACAAATAGTGTGACACTGAATAAAAGAAAGTCAGTAGAAAATCAGAAGTTCCGTTTCAAAAGCTGCCTCTAATATCATTTTAGTAATAAGGCGATTCTAAAGAGTGTGTGCTCACTTCACCATTTCACCCAATGAATTAAAATTTCATTGCACATTGTCATAAATTATGACTCGCAGTGAGGGCCGAAATAGAAACGTTATAACCCAATGCAATGCCGTCTCGCTGTTCTATTGAAGGAGAATTTGGGAATAAATTTTTCAGAACAATGGTGCAATGAAGATAGCATCTTTTGAGACAGCTTTTCTTTTGAGAGTCCTTTTGTTTGTTCTCCTGATGACCATCATTCAAAAGCTGACAATGATTACTGCTGCGTTCTAAGGCCAGCATGTGTCAGTTTGTCTGAGTGCTTTGTAAGACTGCTCTGGATAGATATACACTCTATAGAAAAATACATTTTCTCTGGAAGTCAGACCTTATGAAAGCTATATCATTGTTCATTTGCACATATGCTTTGGGTCCCTGAAACAGCCTTAAGAAATTATCCTAGTTTTATAGAATCAGTGGAATAAATCTCAAAACATACCAAATGGCTCAATTAGGAATGTAAAATATCCCTAGCTTTATGTACAGTGTAGTTTCTAAACTTGTGAAAGTGGTTTTTAGTAAAGTTCCTTAGAGGAAAGTGATTTTTTTTCCCTCTACTGTTAAAAAACATGCCACAGCACAGGAGGGAATACTATCGCCTTTTCACCATGTCCCCCAAGAGATTTTTGTACAGAACCCGTATATTTACTAAAAAGGAGAGCTCTCTTTTCTTCCCTTGGATTCTAATTGAGCATCTTCTGGTGTGGAAGCTTTTACTGTCATTTACACTGAACATAGAATTAGTAGAACTGATGCCAAAGACTTAGCAAAATTTAATTCAATGTTACGAAGCCATTAGAGTTAATGTGAATTTTGCATTAGGGCTGGAGTTTCAGCTGTTCACTGTCAGCTAAAATATAGACATTGAGCTCTTAAACACTTCTGACTTTTTAAAATAAATTGCTTTAAAATTACTATAAAGTTAAATCACTGAACTTTTAATTTGCTTTCCAAGGTACTGCAAATGTGTTTTAGTTATATTACTTTACTGATGGTTTAATTATGTGTTTTGTCATAACTCGTTACTCTGTTGCTTCACACTTATATAAGCCTAAAACACGGTGTCAATATCATAATTTTTGTATCTTCAGGATTTTCATGGGTTAACACAATTCTAAGTACCTATATTAGGGGATATGACTATGGGGCATATGTGATATGTTGTTTGTTTTCATATACATACATACATATGGAAGTGTTCTTAATTATTCCTGCACAGAAATTCCATACTTTTTCAAACTGGCTTGTGAAAAGAAGCATCCCTACATTTTATAACAGTCCATAAGTGGGGGAACTCTGACTGTGCCAATGACACAGTATGAGCACATGCAAATGGACATTGCCACCAAGATTCCTACAGCACTGTCCCATATTTATTTTGAGTCATAAAATCAATGACAGAATTTCACAAAACAAAGCAATGTAGCGAGGCAAAGGAGGAACCACTTCATAATAAGACAGATTTGGATTTGAATACTACTTTTTAAAAACATTTTTCAAGTTATTTTGGTATATTATTGGGAGCCAGATTGGTATGTGGCGTATTATTTACCAGACTGATTGCTCTAGCCACATTGCCGAATCAATTCCTTTAGTCCAGAATGGTCTGAGATACTTTACGTGTCCTGTGTCCAGTAGAGCCCATCTACATCTCTGTCCACCAAGCCTGTTATGTGGGGGATATTTAACAAGAACAGTGCTATTGTCATCATTGTTATTATCACTGTGTATGTTTCCGTGATAAAAGCTACTTCGCTTCCTCCTCAGCAACACACATATCGCGGAGAAAGAGGTACCCGGATTGAGGGTGTTCCCTGTGTCCTGTCTGAGGCTGACAGCACTGCAGCATTGTGACACTGCCCTCTAAAGCTAACTGAAGCTCTATAGAGTAACATTCCTTTCTAATGTTCCCCTATGCCTGTCACAATGGCCATGTGCACCTGAGTGTATTAATTTTAGAAAAAGATTGGCATTGTTCTCAAGCCATCGATATTATTTGCCGTGTAAGATAACCAGACAGTAACTCTCTGAATGCAGACATTTTGTAAGCATACATTAATATA